AAAAAAAAAAAAAACACATAAATTACATTATGTTAATAAATTAATGCACATAAATTGCCTACATGCACTTGCTAATTAATATATAACTACTCGTATTTGCAGCGTATGTGAATGGAAAACAAGAAGGGATAATATGGGAAGAGCCACTAGTTATGGGAGACAACAGACGAAAGGAAGAAAAAGAAGATAACTTATCTACTAAATCATGCGCTCGGTTGGACTTAGCTGACGAGATCAACATGATCTTCAAATCATCGAAGGCCTCCACGGATTATGACGTCACCAAAAATCTGAAAAAACTTGGCCAAGAAAGGTTTTGTGAAGATACATCATTACATTTTAAGAGCCAGCAAAATAATTATTCCAAAAGGGAAAAAGAAAATGTGCAGGATACCAAACAAAAAAAAAAGGGACACATTTAACAGAACAATGAGGATATGCCCCTGGACACTGTCGAAAATTAAAAATATGGCACGTTTATTAAAGACATCGACAAATATGTCCATTGATAGTACTTATCCAGACACAGTAGCTAGTACTATCATAAGTATTTTTCACATGAACAAGTATTTTTCACATGAAATTTTAAAAGTACAGTAGATCAAGCACACAGGGGAAGGGGTTGATCTACATTTGTTATATGACATTAAAAGCTTACAAAAAATATATATATNNNTTTTTTTTTTTTTTTTTTGCTTTCATATGATTAGAAATTTCAAAATGAGTAAAGAGAAGAAAGAAGAAGACAAGTTCCTATCTTGCCCCCAAAAGACGATGTACAAAAAAATTCAAAAAATTTCTATAAGTTTTGTCTTGGCTTAACAGGGCCGATTTTTTCGGATGGTATAATACGTACCACTTGACGAAGGCTATGGGTGAGATGGTGCTCGATGAAATTCGAGGAGATGTGCCCGTTTTAATCATACGCCCGACCGTCATCGAGAGTAGCTACAAAGAGCCTATCCCTGGATGGATACAAGGAAATAGGTTCATTCATTACATCATCATCTCTAGCTTATATATAAATATATGATTTAAATCATTACTACATTGTTTTATACTAGTTTTACTTAGTACAGTCTTTGATTTTCGTCTTATTCAATGCAGGATGTTCGATCCCGTTATCCTTTCTTACGGTAAAGGACAACTTCCCGCTTTCTTAGGAAATCCTGAAGCTACTATGGATATTGTAAGACAATTTTTTTTTAAAAAAATTTAGATACTATTGGTTTTCATTTGAATCTCTCTCTCTCTTTGTTTTTTCTTTTCAGATACCAGTTGATATGGTAGCAAACACAACAATTGCAGCTATAGCAAATGAGGGAAATGCAGAGGAGCCAAAGCTTAATGTGTACCATGTGGCAACAAGTGTGGCAAATCCTCTTAAATATTCGGATTTTTTTGAGTACCTTTACGAGTACTTCAACTCTGCGCCGCTACATGAATCTCAGAGTATATCTAGAATCGAGTATTTCGACAATTTCAACGACTTCTCCCAATACACACGAGAGGAAATTTCACGACGTGCCGGGTCGGAGCACGCGGTTGCTAGCGACAAACGGAATATTCAAAATCGGTTCAAGGCCAAGGTTGCATATGCCGAGCAACTATGCAAGCTGTACGAGTTTGCAGGGTTTTTCAACGCGAGGTAAGTGTAGTTATTATGGGTGCATGTATTGTGTCTACACAAATTCTATCGTGGACCTAGCTCATAAATTGAGTGGGGGCCTATCTTATTTTTATTTTTTTAAAAATTATATAATAACTAAAGTGTAATACAAAAGCACACTTTCATAGTTATTTTTATGAGTTTCCATAAGGTGATATCGCTTTATAATAACATCATTGAATTTATAATTACATTTAATTTTGCCCAACAATATTAGAATTCACTTCAAGTAAATTTAGATTGACATTAGTACATTACACACACTTTTTGCTGAGACATTTTCTAGAATATTTCTCCGTAATTTGATATTAAAAAAATTAATTATAATGCATATAATATTTTATCTAATATATAAAACTTTTAAGAACCCTACAAATTAAAATATAGTATAATATCTATATATATATTAAAAGCCAACCTATTTACCAAAAACAGTAACAAGAAAAGTCAACACACATTTAATGCATACTTTATTTGGAAATTTTTTACTATATGCATTAAATGCTTGCATATTTACATTTACTAAATATGATCTTCAAGATTTTTTCCTTAAATAATTTATGCAATGATTTTACTGATATCCATTATAATTAATATTTGTCGAGTAATATTTTATAACCTTTATTTAAGTATATAACACTAATATTTGTTTTTAAAAAATTAATATTATGTATTATTTAAAAGATAATGATCACATCATTAAATAATTTTATTGATGGTTAGATAATAAAATTATAGTTATTCTTTAAAATTTCGACATGTTATTTATTAATATATTATTGTCAACTATGATAGTGTTTTTATCACTTTTTTTTTTGTTATGTTTAAAAATGAAGTTAAGGTAAAATATTTTTCTATTGCATAGTATGTTAAATAAACTATAAAACCTTATGATGAAAATTAGAAAACATCTCTTGATTATGTAAGGGATTTACTTTTTGACAATTGCTAAATTATTTTTTTTTTTAAATAATTATTATGAGAAAATTGAATTCTAAAAATTATGTGTGTGTATTTTGTAAACATTTATACTCAAAATTTTATTTTGAATTTCATTACATAAAGAAGACTACTTCTATAACTTTTATAAATAATAATAATTACAATATATGACTGTAAATTTTATAATAAAATAATAATTGAGTATTATATGGTGAACAATAATTAATAAAAATTTTATTTATTCTTATATCAATGAATAAATATGTATTCTAAAATCAAATAAATATTAGTATGACGTGTTAGCGAAATTATATATTAATTAACATGTTAATTTTTTGGCTTAAATAAATGTCACTTATTGAAAGGTGTGAAATATGAATGATCTAAGCCTATTGTTTTTTTTTTTGTCTAGACGTACAAGTCCTATAGAAATAATTGATTTATTATATGTATCACGTGCATCGCACGGGGTATGCACTAATAAATGCCCTTAAAATTGTGCACCCCGTGCATCATCCGTGTTTACATTTTGGCCTATTACAGGTCACGTACTATATATATCCCGTACATTTTTTTCTTATATATATATATTCCGTACATTTTTTTATTCATTTATATAATTATAAGAATGGATAAATGACCTTAAAATTGTGCACTCGTGCATCGCACGGGCTCTGTACTAGTTAGTTTCTTAAATCTAGATATATATCGAGAGAACTTGTTTACCAAAAATAGTAATAAAGAAAATTGGACAAAATTAATTGCATGTCACTTTGGGAAATTATTTGAATTTTATTTACCATAAAATCATGACGCATTAAATGCTCTCTTAAATGGTGGGTTTATTCAATTAACGTTTATTCATTCCATTTTATCTTACCTTCCATATAATCATGTTCTTAATAAACATTAAAAAATTACTTATTTAATTTTAAATTAATTACATCAATAATTAATATAAATATAAATATTTATCATTAGATAAAAAAATAAAATTATTTCTATAAGTGTTATAAATAATAATGACAATAAATTTATGAATAGAATAATATTTGAATATTATGATGAACCAAAATATTATTAAAAAATAAATATATTATCTTAAAATATTATTTATATTAATATAAACGGGTTAGAGGGCTAATAAATTGTTAAAATAATGTTTTGAAAAAATGTTCTAAAATACGAAACCCGTGCATCACACGGGATTCTCAATAGTAATTAAGAAACAACAATCAATTAACTACAAGAAGAATGCTACAAATATGAAAAAGTGTTGAAGTTTATTTACAATCAAATATAGTAAAAATAAAATGTTAGATTTACTTCCACCAAATTCAACAAAGTAAAGGTATTTTTCCTTCCCCATTATTTTCTTCTTCTTCTTCTTCTTTTTTGTGCTAGGTATAATTTCTTAATTTCATACTTCCACCTAGCCCGTGTTGGGACGGGCCGATCTGGCCCGACCTGTCAGTTTATTAAAAAAAAAAAGAGAAGAAAAATTCGACCCCAGATTCAAAATTTGCAGCAAACTCAGCTGCCAACAAGAACAAATCTTTAAACTTTACAAAATTCGAACTCTTAAATTCAAAAATCACCTCAAAGTGTCAAAACCATGGTTGAAATCGGGCCTAAGACTATCAACAAGCCAAGTTCTCTTTTCTTGCCTACGCAGCCAAATTTGCGATAATAAATCAAACCCTAATTGAATTGAGACCCATTACCGTTTAGCCCAAGTCGCCGTCGTCAATCGTCACCCGTCGTCGATAACAAATCTTGCCGTCGTTGTCGTCGCAACTCGCAAGTGTTGTCTGTGGGACTGCGGTGTGCGTGTGTGAGTGAGATGGATGAGTAGAGGCAAGATAAAATAAAAATAAAAATAAAAAATTAAATGATAGGTGGGACTTGGGGAGTGGCTGCCGCTTTAGAAGGAAAGAAAATTAGGTGGCGTCACTGGCGTGGGGTTGTAGGTTTGACAAAGTGGAACTTTTAATCTTGTACAATATACTAGTACAATATGCCCGTGTATTATTTTTCTTAAAAATTAATGAATTTTATTAATTGAGAAATAATTTTATTTTTTTAATGAATTTGAGTAAATATTATTATTTTTTATTATTATAAAAAATAAATGTAATTTATTTATTTCACATATACAATATGCATGATTAATTTGATATATTATATATGTAAAAATCAATAAGAAATACAAAAGTTATCAACTTTTAAAATACATTTATAATTCAATAGTTAATTGAAGGAAACAAATCAAAAGTCACTTAGTGTCTCACTATGTAAAATTACAAAGAATTAAAGGGTTATATTAGTACAAGTGATACTAAAATAGTTAAGTTATCTAAATAATATTTATAGAATGGCCGAACCTAGATTATTAATTATTAATATATTAATATTATTTGTCCAAACCTAATTACGAAGCATGATTCTTCACCAAGTAGGATTCCAAAGCACTAGGAGCAGCCACGTAGACTCAACGCATTCGAGAATAATATATAGGGAGGATAACATGGGAGATTCTACGGTGTCGTTACGGAACTATACCGTCAGAATTTGTAAACGTTAGATTAACTATTCATGACGGTTGTACAGTTACAAATTCTGACTGAATGGTTTCATAGCGAGACGGTAACATTTTCCTAAAATATGATAATAAACATGACATCAAAATGTATGTAATTCATATATAATAAATTAAATATACTAGTATAGAAATTAGAAACTGGATAGGCCGAGTCGGGGCAGGCTTAACTACTCGGACCTGACCCGTTTATTAAACGGGATAGATCCAACGCGTCCTGTTTATAAACGGGGTGGATCCGACCTCGACCCAAACACTACAGGGCAAGGCAGGTCAGGTCAGGCCAAGCCCGAAGTAAAATTGTTATTCCTAGGGCTTATTAAACCCACATTAAGATCCATCTAGATTCGCCCATAAGCCTAGACGGTAACATAATGGCGTGATTTTGTTTATGTTGTTTAATGTTTAAAGCGTACACTAATTATAATCTAATAAATAAAGTGAAGTAATGTGTGTTATTTCATGACATTAGAAATGCTCATTTTATAGCTATTAATATATAATATCACTCGACTACATAGCAATATTATGAATCTTGACATTACATGTATTCTATTTTATTTTATTTATTTATTTTTTCGATATATAGGTTCCACAATGGCAACACGGAGAAATTAATTGGAAAAATGAGCGAGAAAGAGCAAGTCGAGTTTGAAATAAATGCAAGGAAGATAGACTGGAAAATTTACTTTCAGGAGGTTCATGTCCCTGGATTGAGAAAACACATACTGATCAATGGGCCAAGGGCTTCATCAGTACATTAAGAGCAGCCTTTGTGAGGACAAGAAAATGAGAGGCTTTATTATGCAGAGTTGTTCATTGTGATTGTATGTTTATGTGTATGTATGGCGATATAATCGATCTCAAAGTCCGTTGTGTTGTTCTGTATTGTATGCAATCGATCTCCAAGTCCGTTGTGTTGTTCTGTATTGTATGCAATTCGATTCGATAATAAATATTAAGTAGTGTACATTTTATATATGTGCTATCTATGTTTGGTGATTCAATAGTTGTTGTTAAGTAGGCACATAGTTCTTACATAAAATTCATACTTATTGCACGTATTGCAACCTAATGTGAAAAAATTTCTGACTAGGCCCTTGGTGGTTAGTGGATACATTTTAACGTGTCATAGTGGATAGGTGAGTATTCCATGAAAAGTACATATATTTAGGGCTGGTATCGGTTCGGTAACTGAACCGATAAGAGAAAACCGATACCGAACCGATATGTTCGGTAACACTAAAATGCGATACCGAAACCGAATCGATTAGAAGTTGGTAACCGATTTTCGGTTACCGAGAAAACGGTTCGGTTTCGGTTTTTAACGATAACCAACCGAAAACCGAACGCTGCTAACAGGTTTGGTGTGATGTTGATTTTAGAATGAATTCAGTTGTGTGATGTTAATCAAGCCATTAAAGCAGACCTTTTTTTTTTTTTAATAGCAAGTATACATTCGTTATTCATATCAGTGACAATAATAAAGCTAGATCCGTAAAATAAATTACACAACACAAATAGTCTATAAGACTTATCACTCGTAAGCATACCATAAGAATTCAACTTCAGAGTGAGGATGAGGGGGGCCAGTTTTTCTACAACATGTACATAAAACAGCATATCATAATCACACCATCTAAAGTGAAGAACTTATGGAAAGTTGAACAAACACATAATGATATGAAGTAGTGCTAAACTAATACGAAGTCATTTAGATATATCTCTTTAAACAAGTGTGAGTGACATGATATATAGATTCAAACCAAGGGCCTGAAAAACACAAACTTCATGCACCATTTAAACATGAGAACATCCTGTGGCTATGAAACCTCACGAGCTGCTTCGGCTTATACACGTCCACCGAGCTGTAGCAACGATGGTGGGCCCCACAAGAGCCCGTCATCGGGTGATGTTGTTTTCTGCTGAAATTGAAGTCGTGATATTCGTCGTTAGCTTCTTTTGTGTAGAAATCTTCGATGTCGTAGGTTTGTGCTGGGCCGGACGAGATGCATTCGTATTTTCGCCGTTTTTCGTTCTTCTTGATGGATCTGCACACCATTGGAATTAGGCCTTCCATTTTTTTTTTTTTTTTGTCAATTTTTTTTCTTGAATGTGCTTGATCATTTCTCTTTCTGGTACCTCTTTTGTTAAGGTTTTGAGGTTAGGAGGGAAAAGTGGATTTGTTTTGACTATGGTTTATTTTTATTTTTATTTTTATTTTTGGTATGGGTTTGGTGGGAAATTGATCCTAACACTTTTTATTATGGGAAAATAGTGACATTTTATTCATCAAATATAGGCACAATTGAAAGTAAAAAGTTGCTAATAAATAATAATAATAGGTAGTTGATATAGGTGATGATTTTGATCTAATTTATTGTTTGGTAATTAGTTGATTGAGCTGGTGGATACATTATTATTTGATAATATGGACAAAATTGAAATTCTATTTGTGCACATTAAAATTATGGAAAAATAAAATAAAATAAAATTAAAATGGCACTACCCATAAGAGGCAAATTAATTAACAATAATCTTTGAACAGAGATGTAATAAATGATTTTTTTGCCCTGAAAAAGGGTTCAGCTGATGAACAGAGAACAATGCAATTTCTGAAACTGAAATGCATTTGATGTAGTTTGTTTCTATCTTTATCAACTGAATTTTAGTGGCAAATTAGAATCAAGCAGCCAATTTGCTGCCACAAAAAAGGAAACCAATGTCACGTTCAAAGATACGAGGAGCTGGTTGCTCGTCTTTCCCTCAGAATGCCTTCCGGTCATGTGTATCTAAATGCACGTTTAAGAGCCTTGGCCGTAAGGAGATCTGATATCAGATTCCATGGTTCACCGCCTGCAACATCAGAAATAAAATCTTTTATGTCGTAGTAATGAAAAATGAAAAATAAACATACGTTGTTCGGCTACATATATGGTGAAATTAAGCTGGTTGGTTGCAAGTTTCACATTATTAACGAAGGAGACAATTCCAAACACAAGGATGAAAACAGTAAGTTGAAAGTATATCTGCACAAAATCAAACTTGTAAAAGAACACATTCAGTTTGTTTTTGCAAAGCGCAAGCCAAGCTCGAGATAGCTTCAAGCAAAACTAGGATTCAAGTGACTGTGTTAGGGCTTCACTTAAGATCCAAGAAGAGCTTGAAATTAGGCTTGACATATTATCATTAGAACTGAAAATGCGCCAGAACCAATATTGTTAAATCAATGCCAGTTAATTATCCAAAAATGATTCTCAAAGTCTTGACAGTTTGAAAGGCTATCCAAGGAAAAATTCCATTTGGTTCATACATTTAACTTTTTTCATCAAATATTGATCCGGCTTTTGTTAACTGTACAAGTAACAGAGACCGAGTAAAAAGGAATTGCTTCAAAAGCTCATGTAAGGATTAGTGAATTTTTTCACCAAAGACAACCTCAATAAGCTCAAGCCTTCAGATTAACTAACTCTGCAGAAATCCACACTAAGATCAGTCAAAGCGATCTAAAAAAATTATAGCCCTAAGTCGACATTCAACAGGTATGAACTAAAGAATCATGCTGCAAGGGAGTAATGATTTTTACCTGAAACAAGTGACTTTCACGGCAGAAAATTCAGTCGGAATCACTAGAAGCAGCTAAGGCCCCCTCACTGGTAAAAGTAGACTCTGCACACATGTTAGCCTCATTTGACAACAATTTTTCTTTCCCTCTGCCACAAATTTGAGGTTCATAATCGAGAAGCACCGGAAAAAAACCAGTTTCCAACTCAAAATCGTTGTCTTTATTATCACCTGATTTCTTTTTCACCCCACCTTCAGTACCTGGATCCGACTCTACCTTCTCTTCACCACAAGAACCATCAGTCTCCTCATCCGACAACAAACAACAGCAATCAAATTCATCATTTTTGGAAACTTGCTCATCCCGCCATGATATTATCATCTGGGACAGTGACAAATTATCTAATGCAGTACTCGATACCCAAGAAGAAGACACACTATTATCCGCATTGTCTTGAAAGAGAGTCGGGTCCCATTTATCCACTATGTTCAAAGATTCTGCAACAATACCAATTTTGGACTGGACAAGCCTAACATCCTCGTCCAACCCCATGTCCGAATCTGGTGTCCGGATGATATTTCCATCACTGAAGGAAGAAATGGATAATGCAGAATAATCACCAATATTAGGGCACATTAAATCGGATGCTTTTTCACCCGAGACATGATCAAAATCCTCATTCTCCTCATCGCACGGGGATAAGACCCACCGTACTGAGGCCTCGGCTATCACAGGAATTGGGGAATTCCGAGAGCCTTCAATCGAGTCACCTTCTTCATGAAAAAGATTGGCTTTCTCGAAACCTCCTTTAAGACTCCCCCTACGCCTGCACTTTCTTCTGTCAGTCACACCCGAGATGAGGTGACCGGCGCCGTAACAAACGGGTGTCATCGACTCCGAGTTCAAGACCGGAATCTTGGAACGGGACTGTGATTGGATCTCAGGAGATAATGAGGCCTCAACAGGGGGTGTTTTGACAGCAGCACAACAACTAATATTCTCTTTATCTACTTCATGTGATGAAAAATCCACTATTTCAGTCTCAAAATTCACGGGATCTAAATCGAATTTGCCCAAGGGACCATATTTCTCATCAGAATTCGGATTGCTAATCAGATTACCTGAAGTTGGGCCCTCATCTTGTGAGTTCTTCTTCAACTTTGACCGAAATTTCGCAGGCCCCTTATCGAATTTGTTCGCTATTTTGCTCGGAGCTGGTGCAAGTTTTGATCTTTGACCATTTTTGCAGATGGGTTTTGCAATGTTTCTTGGATTGTGGCTCTGGGGTGGGTCCCTTTTGGACCTATCTGAAAAGGGTTTTCTGCGTATCTCTTTTGGTTTGGATTTGGACAGCAGCTTTGGTGCATTCGGCATTTTCTGAAAATGGGTTCTTGAGGAAGATGATGAATTTGAGGTTTTTGAGGGCAGAGAATGTTCTATTGAACAGCATTTTGTTTTTGGAGCTTCATAAAGAACTGAAGCTGAAGAAGATGACGAAAAGGAAGCAAAATTTGAAGGTCGTTTGGTGCTGAGATTATGGATATTATTAGGTAATAATCGGCCATTGATATCTTGTAATGGGCCATTTGTGTTCTTCTCTTTCTTCTTCTTCATCGTTTTGCTTTCGTTCTTCATTTTTTTTTTTTTTTCAGTCTGCACTTATAAAAAAAGATTAAAGTTTATTCAAATGAACAAAATAATGGAGTTTACCGTTGGTTGGAAGAAAGTGACAACAATTTTTTGGCTTTTGGTCCTTTGAGCAGGTTTTGTCTCATGGGGTCAGCATTGAAGTTTGAAGTTACTGATATTTAAGGAGTTACTGTTTCGTTTGCACTTCAATTAAGATATTTATTACTAAGTACTTTTGAATGGTCTAATTAGTCTTCCTAAATCCCATTCGCATACACATCTCTCTCTCTCTATCCAGCGGCGATAAAAAAGAAGAAAAACCTAGATCCCTATATCTTGATTGATTTTGGCCTTCCCACCGGCGCGTGTGCCGCTCCCACGGTGCGAACCGACAAGATTCACCCTGGTCAGCCTGTTCTTCGGCGGGTCGGTGGTCACCCTCTCTGCGTGGGTTTCTTCCTTTTTCAAGATGCCATGGCAGAAGGTAGGCGGTGGTTGTCGACTTGGCGGTGGAACGTGGGGCTGAGTTGGTGGCTGCTCGCGGCCGTCGGCTTAGGGCCTGAGCCTTGGTCTCCCTGTTTTCGATTGTCCCTGGTGCTAGGACGTCGAATCTCTCAGGACGGTGGCGGTTCTCGTGGCTGCGACTACGGGGGTATGGTGAGGGAGGGTGTTGACTCAGTCCTTCTGGGGCTAATCGAGGTAGTGGACTGTAGGGGAGCTTGGGTTTGCCAACGCAGGTCGGGGAATCTGATCTCGATATTTTTCGATCCGGTGTGGGCAGTTGGGGTGCTGCTTCCTGATCTAGTGTGCTACCTCTATGCTTGTTCGTGTTGTGTCGGGTGGGTGCTCGTGAGGCCGGAGGGGAGGGCTTTCCCTTTTGTTTTAGTTCACTTTTTGTTTTTCTTTCTTTGTCTCTAGTATTGTTTGGTTAATGTGGTGTTGTTTTGTCTCCCCTGTTGGGAGTGGTTTCGTCTCCATTGGTGGGAGTTCCTCTTCTCCTTTTTGGGAGTGTGTTTCTCCCCTTGTTCGGGAGTGTGTTCTCCCTTTGGAGTTTGGTTGGGAACTTAGGGTGTTTGGTTATGTAGTTGGTCCTAGGTTGCCATGTTGTATGTCTCCCAACTAGTTTCGGCTCTTGACCGTCTTTATCGGCTGGTGGCCGTTGACTAGTCTGCACTTGTCTTTGCATATATATAAATTCTATCGTTGGGAAAATAAATTAGTCTTCCTAAATAAAAGATGAATAAAAGTTAATGACCAATTGTCATGCAATTTTTTTTTTTTCGAAACAATAGATATTATAACTCAAACGAGAATGTACAAGTAGGGGGTATCTCGAGAACTACCACAAGGTAGACTGGAGGAACACTAAGAGCAAGTGCCCTAAAGCAAAATAGAAATTAAAGAAATGACAAAGATGAAAAATCTTGCATCTGGCAACACTAAAACACTAAATCTGGTAGCATGATTCTCATCTTTGTTGTTAAAAAACCAACCAAAAGAGTAACTGACCACTAAACTAAAAGAACCTAGTAAGTTACTCAACCCAGAACAGAAAAAAAACAACTAACTAACTACTAAAGTTCAAGGAAAACAAAAACAGAAGATGATAAAAAAAAATAAAAATAAAATTAAAAAAAAAAACAAGAAAGAGATTCAACCATCAACCAAAACCAGAAGTACAGAAACTTCAAAATCAGGTTAAGGGGAAAGAGTAGCTAAGGAACCAGCTTCCTACATCAATCCCGAGCAATTGAACTCCATCAATTCACTACAAACAACACTCAACACTGAGATCTCTGCTTTTCTCAAGTAGTTGAAGATGAGCTATATTTCCAAATTCCCCATAAGATCTAAGTAGTGAGATGTAATCTAGCCTCTGAAGTAGGAGATTTGCTGACATTGCATATCTTTGTTCACCAGTCTTTAAAGCAACCCGAGTCTAACTCTCTACCATCCTAGCAAATAGGAGAACATGTGCTCCAAGGGTTTTCCTTAATGTGCACAAGTTGTGCAAATGGTGTTCAATGAAACTCCTTTCTTGAGAAGCATAGGGATATTACTTTTATCTGCTCTCACATTGTTTTGCAGGTTGATAGACATCTCTCTCTCTCTCTCTCTCTCTCTCTCTCTCTCTCT